TACCAAACGTGCCAAGGGTTTGTGAGGGGCGATGGCAAAGTAGAGAGGAAGCTTGTGAGGTTTTGTAAAGACCGCGTAGTTATTGTTGTACATGGAGGTCTTGGAGGAGGAAGACGAAGACGCACAAGCGATACGAATCAACACAAGCGAGAAAGGAAAGTTGAAGGAAAAAAAACAAATGAAAAAAAAAAGACCTCAAATGGGCCCCACATTTGAATACGTGAGATATAACATTTTAAGGGGGAAAAAGCGAGAGGTAATATGATCAATATACCGAGAAATGGAGCGTTTGAGCCAAAAGAGAAGTAGAAAAAGCACCGCCCTAAACTAAAATATTATTAAAAATTATCAATTTCAGTGCCGGGCTGTCCTACGTACGATCGGCGTTCACATCAGCGATTTCCAACTAAAATTAGCCGGATTGACTCAATTGACAAAATATAAAAATGTTTCAGGACCTTATTATCGTAATTAAAAAGATTTAAGACTGAATTAATAAAAATATGATAAATTTAAGATTTTTTCGGATAATTTTCTCACCTTCCAAAGGATGGCAATATGAATTGACAAAAAGAAGAAAGTATGGCAACGTGGCATAACTCCCGACGCAACTCCAAACGACAATCAAGAGTCCCCCCAGAAGAGCCGAAGGATCAGACAGCGAAAGCAAACAGTCTCGTCCCATCCGCACGGAAGCGGATCCCTTGAAAGCATTCCTCCCCCGCCCCACCCCGAGAGAAACCACCCATTCTCCTCCTCCTCCTACCAACAACTCTCACATGTTTCTGTCTTTTAACGCGTACCCTCTTAACCGAAAATTCATCTCTGCTTCCCAATCCCAGGAGTCGATCACACCCTCCTCCTTCGATTTCAGGCACCCTTTTTTTCAGGTCCAGCTTCCAATGTTCACGACGAGCAGGAGGACCCTTCGTTTCCCAGAACCGAGGCCCGAGCATCCGAATAAACGGAACGTTCTTTCCGATGATGTTTGGAACCGCGGCCGCGGAAAGAAGCCCGGGATCAAAGCGCCAAACCATTGCCGGCGTATCACTGGTCGGAGAGGACGCCCCCAATCCCTTTCTGGTGACGGTTTTTGGTTCAAATTCATGATCAATATTCCCCCCCGCCCTTTTTCCCATGGAAATCATAGACAAGATGACGTACAAATCTCGCCTCCTTTTCGGGATGATTTGGGCCGTTGAAGACCTGAAAGCCCGGCAACACACGGTTCGAGGCCCAGGCCCAAAAACGGAACTTTCTCTTGGTCAATGACAACGGCGGGCGGGCTCCGACATTCGCTCGGGGTAAAGAAGATGAAAATCTTCGAAGAGGGAAGGGAAGAAGTTTTCGCTGGTGCCAACTGCAGTGAAACTGGGAGCTCGAAGCCAAGTTGAGACTCGAAGATCCTTCGACTTGCTTCGCGATTCGCGAATTTGGGATCCCGTGCAACACCGGCGTGAGTTCCTAGGGTTTCGTTTCCGGCGAAGGCGCTGCCGTTCCTTCTCTATCTTCTTCTTTGTTTATCTCGTCGCATATACAGTGCTGGAGTTGTTGTAATGCGCACATTCGAGCTTTTGATCGTGGAAATGGTGCTTTGCCCCGGCTTTGTTCAGGTTACGGCTGGGGAAGGATGGACGGGGAGGAGCTGACGCAGCAGGAGACTGAACTTTACGATCGTCAAATTAGGGTTTGGGGCGTTGATGCCCAGAGGAGGTCCTCTTCTTCTTCTTCTTCTTTTGCTGCTCTTGAGATCTTCAATTCTCCAATTGCTGCTGTTGTGTCTATCGTTCTGCTTATTGTTGGTAATTCTCTGTTAAAATCTGTAATGTTCGAGACATGATCGAGCTTGTTCTTCTGCTATCAGGTTGAGCAAAGCCAATGTTCTTGTCTGTGGAATGACGGGAACTGTTGCCGAGGTGAAATCTTTGCACTTTCTAGTCAATTAGGGAGCCCTCGGTTGTTATTCGCTGTGTGTTGATACTCGTATCTCTGTCAAGATAAACGTTTTTTTTTTTTCCGATGTGTTGCTTTGTGCCGATTGTCTATGGTTTTCTGGGGGGCAGTTTTGCAAGAACATTGTGCTGGCGGGAGTCGGGAGTGTGACCCTGGTGGATGATGGGGTAGTTACTGAAGAGGCATTGTCTGCCAATTTTCTGATTCCTCCTGACGAGAGCGTGTATAAGGGCAGGACTCTTGCCGAGCTCTGTTGTGATTCTCTCAAAGAGTTTAATTCTATGGTCCGTGTATCAGTTGAAAAAGGTCGACTCTTACTAGACAGCTGCTTATGGGCTTTCTTTTCTGGTATTCGCTCTGAATTCCGATAGTTGAATAGTGCTCTATGGTTTCTCTATATGATACTTTACTAGGTGATATATCAAGCTTTGGTGGAGATTTCTTCTCTAAGTTTGACGTGGTTGTCATTAGTTCCTGCTCACTCGCTACTAAGGTAAGATACTCTGCCCATTTAAACTCGAATCCTCTTGAAAGAATTTGAAAGCTTGGTTCATCCAGTATCAATAAGCATTGTCGTTCTTGTTTAAAAGCCTCTTATATTTCCTATATTGCAGAAACTGATTAATGAGAAATGTCGGAGATTGTTGAGGCGTGTGGCATTTTACACTGTAGATTGCAGGGACTCATGCGGAGAAATTTTCGTTGATCTCCAAAATTACAAGTACACAAAGGTTGCAACTCGCCCCTTTATTGATCCTGCTATATATTAGCAAAGTATATGGAATGGCTGTGCAATTCGCCAAAAGCCTTACAGATTTTTGCTTCAGTCCACATAGTTCGGTTTTAAATAGTTAAATCTAGTTGGCCTTATTCAATGAATTTGCAATATCAGCTAGTGGCAGGGTAGACAGTGAAAAGAGATATTTGTTTGGTCAGATGTCAACCGGTACAGTTTTAAATTTGTTTGAAGATTATACCGGGTTGATTTTTATGCATGATAGGGTGGACAAGGTGCATTTATGACCTTGTAACTTTGTGGAATTTGGTCTTAGCAGCATGAAGTATTGCTCGTGTTAATCCTCTTCTTTTTATTGCTAGCCTTTCATGTGAACTGCTTCAGCAGCATGCCTGAGACACAGTTATCAGACGATGAGATTTTTGCACTAAACATTGCAGATATGGGTTGCTTTGTTATATTCAATAATAGTGATCATCAGAAATATTGATATTGTTGCTTTGTTTTCTTCTCCTGGTTGGCAGAAAAAAGTCGATGAAGCTGTCGAATTCGAACTAAAGTATCCTAGTTTTGAGGTATGACTGGATTGTACTAATCAGATGAAATGATGCTCGTCTCACTCTATATATTCGGAAATTGTTATGGTAATGATGCCTATAGTAGTTAAAAGGAAATGAAATAAAAAATGATTGAACAAGAAAAGCTTGTGAAAGCCTTTTCAGACTACTATTCTTTGATGATCTATTACATATTGAACTTTGCTATCACTGGGTGTGATTTTGAAGTAATAAACGAGCCCTGAGAAATGGATGCAAACGCTTGGTTTTTTTTTTTTTTCCCCTTGATCACATGGTTGTTTACATGTAACAGGAAGCTATTACAACACCTTGGAGAAAGCTACCCAGGAAAACGGCGAAGCTCTATTTTGCCACGAGAGGTATGACAAGGTTATCGAAATTGCATTTAATCTGACTTTTCCTTGGGAACTAATTTACTTCGTTATTGATCGGATTTGTACAATGGTTTCTTTTGTTTACTGTGCCTAGTTATCGTTCTCATCAATTGGCAGATGTTCTTACATTTTTCTTTCGTTGAGTACTAATACCCTTGGCTGTGTTGTCGTTTAAGCTCCTGTAGTCAGCTATTCCTGTGCATGTATTCAATTTACGATTTGACCAACGTGTTACCTCTCTATGCTGTTTACCTTATATTTCCTTTTATCATTTAATTGAAGAATGAATATGGATAGTCAATTTTTATTTAACACCGCCAACCCCGTCTTCTTTCCCTACTTTTGCAGTCATCGAAAAGTTTGAAGAGGCAGAAGGGCGTAATCCCGGCGAAACTTCGATTCTTGATCTTCCTGGTGTTCTGAAGAAGAAAAAGGAACTTTGCGAGGCAGAGGTACGCTATACGGAAACTGCATGTGCCATATGATTTTTTCGCAAGGTTCTCTCTCATAACTTTGGTAGGATAATTTTTGTGGTTCTCCCTTGTTACTTTGTGACCATGCAGTCATTAAATGAATCTCAAATTCCGGATTCTCTACTGGAAAGATTGGTGGTTGGTAGGAGAGAATTTCCACCAGTTTGTGCAGTCATTGGGGGGATTCTTGGACAGGTGCTTTTCCTGTTAAACTTATTGCATTCTGTTGCTATCTTAATGTATGAGTGATTTCCTTACGCCCTTTCAACATATTCTGCCGATGCAACTATTTTTAGGAGGTGATAAAAACTATATCTGGGAAGGGAGATCCACTTAAGAACTTTTTCTTCTTTGATGCTTTTGACGGCAAAGGGATAATAGAAGACGTATCAAATCCAGACGCTGCAAGCTGAGCCAGCCTAAATGAAAGCTCTCTGGTTACTTTTTCTCCTTTCTTTGTTAGTCCTAGGAGTAGTGTTGGAATCTGAGGGCTATTATCAACTGTAGATGCCATTCCACCAAGGGAATTTGGAAGTGCAATGACTGTTGTGAGGGCTTTTTGACAATGTTGTTAGCCTGTTTTTGGTCAACTAACCTCAGATTGCTGATGAAGGTAGTGACAAAGCATTACCTTCATCTCTGATATAAGGAACCTGCCCTACTTTTGAATTCGATTTGTAAACCCAGGGCATTGTCTTGGTCTCGTCCAAATCGAGAAAACTGGAAACTTTTGAAGCAGAGTGGAATGTGTTAATCGTTATTGATGCCTCAATGCGACACTGCAAGGGCTGTGCTGGAATTGCTGTAGAGGAAGGCAAAAGCAGTAGTTGGGAATGTAAGGCAATGGACGAAGCCTGAAAAGGATGTACGTCATCTGAAGAAGTTTGTCGGTAGGGTCGTCCTAAAACTTATTCCACGGGAGGCGCTGATTGATGATAACAGTGATACCCGCGCGCGCGGTGCTTCTTGATCATGATTCTGGAAATTTGTGGGTGGGGGATGCCATCAACCCGTTTTTCCACCAAAGATTGAAACTTTAATAAAGCAAAATCGGGGGGAGTCACTTTAACATCCTGAGCATGATCATTGAAAGGCAAAAGAATCTAAAATTTTACGGGAGAGCATAGAGCTCCTTACATTAATTATGAAAAGTTTGCTTTTGACTTTATGCTGTCGGTAAGTTGAAACGTCCAATGGCCCATGTTGGCTAAAATTAGTTTTTAAGAGTGGAAGACTTGAAATGTCCAAAACTTAGTTGACCAGCTAATAGCTTCGATCGGGGTGGTCGTCACCGAGAATAATCACTTGCGCTCAATTGAGATTCTTCAGCATTCGATTTTAGTTTAGATTTGCAAGATCGTGATATATCAAAATGCACTTGAAGGTGGTGGGATTTCTGGATGAATCAACTGCCTTGAGTTCTCAACTCAGTACGGATGATTCAGAAGATAAACAGAAGTTAGTTAGTCAACAAGTCCTTCGGATTGTGCGTGAGAATTTTCAAAAGCCCAGCATGGATCAAGTTAGTTTTATGCCGCTCCTATAACCTCGTCCTCCACATCCCACGTTCAAAAAAAGATCCCATTTCCACGCTGTCAAAACTCATCATGATCCAGAACAACTAATAAAGCGCAGAGAGAGAGAGAGAGAGAGAGAGACCCCACAAAAACCATGGAAGCCTCGAGTGTAGATCCAATAGGAAGTGCTGCCGACAACCAACTGTACAACAAGTTCCAGAACTTTGAAACAAGAACGGAATCCTATAATCTGTACAACCTCGGCAATTCTAATAAAAGCCTGGTCCAAGTCATTCGGCTCCTGAGGAGCAACTCTCCACGAATCCTCATGGCCTCACTTCAGCATGGATTTCGTAGGTTACCGCCGCAGTGGAAGGGAATGGCGAGGCGCTACGACTCGGCCGCGGAAGAGACTGTAAGAGAGAGACGAGCCGCGATCGAGAGCGGTAGGTTGAAGGGAAGGAGATTGTTCGAAATGCTGGACTCGGGAGATGGAGAAGCGGAGATATGCAGTGGGTGGAGTGGTGTAACTGATGATGATGATGACAGCGACGACGACGATGATGTTGTGTGTTGTGGGAAGATCAAGATGAGTGAGGAAGTGGTGGCAGTGGAGGATGGCGGTTACTGCGCCTCGTTGTCGTCATCTTCGTCTTCTCCAGGGATAGGGGAAATCAAGAAGAAGAGAAAAATGGTAAGGGGGTTGATAACGGGTCGGAGATGGATCGGGATAGTTTCAGTACTGCTCGCAGTTGCCATAGTTGCCATGAGAAGCTGTGCAAGTGGCCATGGCAGCGATGGCCACATGAATCTCGTCCCTACTTGACAGTTAAAAACATCTACTCTTGATGATTCTTCAGGCTTTGCTGCTTATGCAATAGTTCCATTTGTGCATTGCATGGTTATGAAATCACAGTCACTGCCATGCTCGTCTGCATCTATTCTGTCTTTGTGGTTTTACCTTGATTCTTCGCTTGCCTATGTTGTAGAATTGAGATGATTTAGAAATTGACGTGACAATCGCTCCCGCTTATTTCATGTATCCAACTACAGTTTATCGCATCACTTAGTAGATCACATTTATAGACCAATCTAAGATGCTCTTGAAGTGTCATCTTATGGAGTCAATTTGATTCGCAATTGAAGCACAACCCACCTTCGATTCCAGCTCTAGGGAAACAAATTGTTTCCGTGTGAGTGGGCCTCATGACGAGAAGGGAAGTTAATGAAAACGGCCGTATGCTGCTCAATTTATGGCCCAAATTGGGCAAGTCTTCAATTCAAATTCACCATTAACGATGATGGACCATCTTCAACTTCAACTTCAACTTCAAGCTTCCCATTGGTGGAATGGACCATCTCTGAATCTGGAAAGCTAGGAAAGCCCAATAAGAAGCCCAGCCCGTACAGTGCTCGGGTAAGCAAGACTAACAAATCACATGTATTCAACTTGAGGGCCGTCGAAGAGGACCACGCAATAGGATTATGGGAATGAAATCCACAGCTGCACATGACACGACAGCATCTACGGATTTAAATTGAGCTTGCGGAGATTAAGCAAAAGCACAATTATACGTAAAAGCATCCAATTAGTGCATCTGCTCTGCTTCTGTTCAATATTCTCTGATCACCCACTCAGAAGGAGAAGTTGAAATTTTTGATGGAGGTCACATCCGTACCTTTATTTTGATGCTACAACGTTGATGATGCATGCATGCCTTGTGTCGCATCGTATCGTATCAGCTGTGCATGGGGTCTCTCTGGGGTCTGCATCGATCTCGCACCCGGTCTTTTCCGGGGTACCATACCATGATGTTTTGGTGTGAAGCTACTATAATAATATGCTGGGAGGGGGGTTGGTGGGTCCAGACTACAAAGGGGGGATCATGACGTGCATGGCCAATCAAGCCCATGTTTACCCTCGTGTGTTGGGCTTTACTGGTGCATACGTGACATTTGAGCTGCTTTAAGGTTCCATTATTTGTACGGTCCGATGGGGCTTTGCTGCCCTAATCTTTTGTATTACAAGGCAGGAGACATTTCCCTATCTTTTGGTTCTAGGATTCTTTGCTTTCCCACGTACGACAAGAAAAAAGGCATCGACATCGGGTGCGTGTATCCTCCTCTGAAATATAAGTTGGTCCAGATGGACTTGCAGATGTGTCGTGCGTGAGTGAATATTGGTCATCATTACACATGGATTAAACTTTTTTACCATCATGTCGTTGGTATCTTTGACAAGAACCTAATCTCTCTGCACTGGCTTCTGTAGAAGATCAAGAAAAAAAGGAAAGAATATAGCATAAAATTTGAAGAAATACGTAAGATGCAGTAGGCATCACGTTTGTCTTCTTGTATCAACCCTAATTTCATCAACCCCCGACCTGGACCAGCGCATGTTTGCGTTGAGCCACGCGTGGGCTCTAAATTTGCGATCCTGAGATTTCTGGTAGCTTTCATTCCTCAAAAGTACCACCTCCTCAGATCTTCTGAAGAGCAAAGCTTTTTGCTTCCTCGTGATACGTTTGGTGACCGTCCTTGGAGGATGATATTGACAGAGAGAAAGAGGTCCAGAGATGAAAGATTCGACGGTGTATTCATTTTTGTCACTAACTGTCTGGCATTTGATCCTTCATGTTCTCCTCTCTCGCTCTTCCTTTCTCATGTTAAGGGGCTTCTAATCATTCTTTAGTTTGTAGACGTCGTGTTCGTGCGTTTCAGACTTGCGTTCTCTGTCTTACCTGTATTTACATGAGGAAACATGTTAAAAGGACAAAGCGAAAGTTAGGATATGTCATCTTTTAGTGGTTTGAATTTTCGAAATGAAACATCTTGTGGAACTAATACGAATTGCTCTAAAAACTTAAACCATGAAATGAATGAGTGGTTTAATATTTATGTATTCTTACTAACAATGTCTCATTTGCCTTAATTCATCGAAAATGCCATGTCCTATAATAGGAAAAAGTTATGCATGCATCGATTGCACGATGTAATCGGCGTATTCACGTATCATAGGCATATGATATGATGTGACTGCAATAAAGTAACTTCTCGAACTAATAGAGTAAAAGCTAATTAAGGATGTGGAAATGGAAGGTAGCTCACATGGCCATCTTTGACAGTTTGCCAGGTGCCAGAATTTTAGTGACGGACTAAGACTTGTCATTGCGAGGTGGAATGCATTTGGGGAAACCACTTCACATGCCGAGCCGGATTAAGAGGGAATAAAGCCAAATCAGGTCGATGAAGAGCTCGATCAGCAAGACAAAGAGGAACTCGTATAAGGTGGGGGAACACTCCCGGGTTTGTCTTCATGCGTCGACAACTCTTGAATCAAGATGCCCACCCAATTCTCATGCCTCTTATGTCTCGATAAATATCGACAGTGCAATCTTACAAGAGGACCCGATAATTCGAGTAGGGCCGAACCTGAGCAAATCCTTAAAAAGACTTCATTTCGGATCTCGTTCGAACCTTGGAATTCCCGCGATATAAAGCGATTAGAGGGACCCAATTCTCATGCCGTCTCTCGTATGTCTCGATAAATATTGACATTGCGATTGTAACGGAGGACCCAATAATTCAAGTAGGGTTGGAGCATAGGAAAGATATATGGAGACGGGGCTTGCAAACTCATAAGCTCCAAAGTGGGAGAAGAGTCGACGTCTCGAATTGGTCGGCCATGCAAGCTTATGTGTCTCTCCGTTCACGTTCAGGGCCGTGATTTGATGATGACTCTGCAATGCTCATTCGCTTGCCACGCATCTTCGACCACTAAAAATGTCATCTTCCTTCCCCAATCTCGCCCGTTTGTCCCCATTTTTGGACCACACTTCCACTGCTAAGTAGAACCAAAAAAATACTTTCGGGTGGTTCGTGAAGATTCAAGACGATTCATAACCATAAACAAACACATTCTATTAGGGATAACGATACAAATAGTCTCTGAACATTGATTTAATGTGCAATGTGATTCATAAACTTTCAATTTGTTCAATATGATCCTTAAACTTTTGGTATATGCTCAAGTTAGTCCCTAAACTATATGAAAATATTCAATGTTATCCTTCCATTAATTTAAGTTCATAGACAACATAAATAGGAACTAGATTGAACATGTATTAAAAGTTTAGGATCACATTGAACAAATTAAAAGTTCATGGACCATATTGCACATTGGACCAAAATTCAAGGACCACATCAAGCAAATTACAAGTTCGGATTCCATATTGCACATTAGGCCAAGTTTGAGAAACATTTGTGTTGCTTTCCCTATCTTATTATAAACTCTTGACCGCTAAATTTGCGTTTCAGCCGATACAATTATACGTCGCGAATGCACCGTACTAAAAATATTTATATACATAAAGGGGCAGCAGCGGATGATTTTTCTTCTAGACGTATGGGCCGATCGGTGTCATGATCCAGAAAAAGCTAGGATTAGCAATCATACGTTATTCTTAATGATCAGTAACAACATACACAAAAGAAAAGAAGAGAGTCTGGTCTTATCCACGTTCCTATTGTTCCACTGTACTTGCGTAAGTGCTCCAAATAATCTAACCATTTGGACCAATGTTAGAACTTGTTGCGACCGTACATCTCATCCTTAATCCTCACGATAAAATAATAAACAATTCAAACGCAAAGTCTAATCAGGTCATATCATGACCAACGTCACCCACCACAAACCATATCCTTAAGTATGAATCAGATCCAATAACGTCCCCGTCCTTATGATCCCGCTTTGCATCCTTTTCGTGAAATATCAAATCTACAATGATTGCTCGCTGCGAGTTGAAATTGAAACATCGACCCTCTTCCTGCTTCTCTAGGATGAATACAGAGCGAAAACGATACCAATTGATCCTTCTCGTGATCTCTCTAGAGCTTTCGTTCCGGCGAGATCGTGAACACATCGAACTTAGGGACGCCGGGATCGCATGTGCCGTGGCCGAGCCTAGACGATTCGTTTCGCGTCGCGATAGGGATTATTCGACCACTTGTGTGGCTATTTTCAATGCGGTACTAGGAATTATTTGATGACTTGTGTGGCTATTTTCATCCTGCTCCTAATTGAGGTTTAGTTGGCTCAAGCTTTGAGGTGCAAAACTAGCTGAATAGTGAACCTTCTATGGTTTGTGGTGACTATATAGCTCGACACGCCACAGCAGGAATCTAAATAGTAAATTCCTGTATACTTTTATTTGCTGAAACAAAAATGAAGAATAAAAATAAACAACGAATGTTAGAAACTACAGTTCATCTTAGAATCTAACACGTCTGGTGACACATTGGAACAAAAATCAAATCTTCTTATAACTAGAATTCAATGTTCCCAGCTATTAAAGGGATAAGCAAATAACTATGTTAAGAAAATATCCTTCGTATATCGATGTTTTCACCTGGTAGAAGATTGCCAAATGTTGATGCACTAATCTACGATTGACTTGCAGAGTATGTGAACTTTTCTTGGTGGGTTTTGCTCATTCATTCTTACCAACATGTAGCCTCTCCAAATGTTGATGTCCATTCCTTTGATTTCAAGTTCTATTTCAAGGGTTTTCACTCTCGATAACAAGACAGAAGTAGGTATCACTTATCTTTTTGCGTGAAAATGATGGGATGACATTCAAAAAAAGATGCTACACTTTTTCTGGAAAGGGAAACGAAGGCAAGTGAAGATCATCATGGAAGATGGGTAGAGATTGTGGTTGAAATTGACAAGTGAGTACGATGTTTTAGCGTTTGCAACACAGTAGGTTGAACTATCGAACACTTCTAACAAACTAATAATAGAGGTTCAAAAATTTCCGTGAAATTTAAGTTATACAAATTGCAGCAACCTGTTCAAATATGATTCACTTATTTAAAAAGCAACTTATACAATATTCCAATTCACAATTTGTTCTCTCACTTTATAAAGAGGTCCTTCTAAGTATTGAAAACCAGAATGATATCATCTTGATTGCATCGTACCAAAGGGAATCTAAAGCAATAAGTGCTATATTCCGGAGCTAGGGCAATTAT